TCCTGCGGTTGTTAAGGGGTATAGTGATGCAAATTAGATCACCAGATCAACCTAGACTAAATCCACAAGTGGATATATTTTTACAATCAGTGGAGGAGCAGTGTCTTTGAAATCGTCCAAACAAACGTCTATTGTCCGCTTTATAATGGAGGTTGAGTTCATAGCCTTAGATAAAGCCGGTGAAAAAGCTGAATGGCTCCGAAATTTCTTGAAAGATATTCCATTTTGGCCCAAACCGTTGGCCCCAATATGCATACATTGCGATAGTCAAACGACAATTCAAAAGGTTGGGAGCGTTATGTATAACGGTAAATCTCGTCATATACGACGAAGATATAAAATTGTTAGGCAATTACTCTCTAGAGGAATTATTACGATTGACTACTTAAAGTCAAGCGATAATGTGTCGGATCCATTTACAAAAGGCCTAACTAGAGAGGTAGTTGAAAGATCATCGAGGGGAATGAGACTATAGCCGAGGACAAGTCATTATGGCGGTAACTCTACCTAGAAGACTGGATGTCCCAAGATCTAGGTTAAAGGAGCTCAAATAAAGTCACTACTAACGGTTCAACATTGTCAAATAATTTTTTTTTGGTCCATTCTCGTGATGAGATAATGTTCAGTACCAAGGATAAAGCACGTTCAGGCTTTTTAATGGTTTCGAAGTTTGGTATGGGGTATATCAAATAGTGTAACCACGGGATAACACGTTTAGGAATCACCTACGTAAGTGTGAAATGTTAGCCGCTTCAAGGAGTGTTCTATAAGGCCAATTCTCTGTGCACTTATGAAACCAGGCGGTGTTCATGGCTGAAACGAACATAACAATGAGAACCAAAGACGGTTAATAGTTGATTGTGTGACTTATGGTTGTCTAGGTATACACCAAAGCTCGACGGTTCAAAGATATCAAATCTACCGATTGACCGAGTATATCCGACATATGTTCACTACAGAAAGTTCAAAGGGAAACCTACTTATCCAGATGCGATTAATCCTTATTTGCTAATCACACAAGTTTTTTGCATATTTTTGTAAATATATTGCCATCCCCATTCATGTGGGGGATTGTTAGGTTTCGTGAATGAGAAATCTATCGTAGGTGTATCAATTACGTTTTACTTTACTGTCTCTGCTCTTTTTTTTCTTTTCATTAGTGATGGGTGGAGAACACAAGTATAAATCAGTACGGAGACATTATAAGCAAATCAAAGAATGCCACGACAATGTTTACTGTTTTTATGGATAAAAAAAAGGGAAATTACCAGCTATGTCCATTTATAGGTAGTTCATTACAAAAATTGGCAAATTGATAAAATATTACTAATATTAGTCAAATTAGCCAATTAGCTATTTGTAGCAAAAAAAAATATCAAATTTTTACTTTTTTTTGAGTGGGTGTTATTAGAATAGATTGGGCACAACTTAAGGATCTTGAATCTCAGTTTTGGGATGATTTGGTGAAGTTTTGAGGTGGTTTGAATTGAAAATTCGAAGTAAAAGCTGAACATGAAAAAAAATGATATGTGTATCATACTGTGTATCATTTGTGTATCACATATGTATCATATTTGTATCAATTGTGTCTCACATGTATATCCATGTATACCTGTGTGTGAGATACATGCGTGATACATGTTTGATACATGTGTCGCAGAAGACTTTTTTGAACTCGATTTAATTATGAATTTTGATACAAGACCACTCTAAATCACCTCCAATCTTCCTCAAATTTTGTATATTGACTTATCTATATATTTTCAATGAATTTCAACTATACCCATTGAAAAAGTTCCTTTTTTGTTTAGATTTTTGGAATATTTGTATAGATTTTTGTATTTCATCACCTTATTTGCTACCCCGTCCATGAAATTTCTTTTCCGTCTTGTATCTAATGTTGCTAATCACACTTAAAAATATGGAAGGTGGTTTTTGCATGTGATTCTTCGAGAGAAAGAACCCTATTATTTGGTTTTGTTGGCTAGTTTTGGTAAGTCTATGACTAATGGCTAGAGGTTAGTAAGTTGAGATTTATTTGGGACATTTGTGTAAGTTTCCCTAAAAAATATAAATACAAACATATTTGATATGTCTACTCCTTTAGATATTATGAGAATTTTTTCTTGTTTCAAAATTCAAAATTGTTTATTGAGGTTATCGGTTCCATTCAAAAGTGACGAAGTATTGTTTCCCAGATTAATAGGAATTACTTCTCTAGGTGGCAGTCCAGTGATGTTTAAGGTAGAAGCATGATTAGAGGTATTGAGAGAGAGTTTATTAAAAGGTAAAGCATTAGCAGTATTATTTCATTCTAGTGGCATACCTGATCTGTGTAGACTCCTGTGGACATTGGTGTTTTTCCTGGTTGTTTTAGTAGGGAAAGTAACCACTTTCCATTCATCCTTAGATGACCCAGCAGTATTAGTGGACTTAACATGATTATCATGGTTAGCAGTAGTAGGCTCCTTAAAAGCAGCTGTTTTAGTGTATGAGCAAAGTAATTGATTATGTCCCATTCTACCACATTTAACATAGAACAAATTAAGTCCTTCATAAATAATATTTTATTTAAGATGGCCAATAAAAATATGAGTGCAAAGTGGTTGATCCAAGGGGAGTTGGACACACAACCTAGCATAGCGTCCCTTAATGTGGAAGAAGTACAATTATCAATGGCTAGCAATTTACCCACCTTATTACCCAATTTCTGCAAGATATGGGAATCGTAAAATTCAGTTGAACTCAGGTAGACGTATCAATACTGCAGAGTGATTGATTGTTGTTTCAGATGGCATAAACTTTGGTTTCCATGGCCTAACAGTTAAGAAATGATTAAGAATAAACCAAGGTCCATCATGAATAGCATGCATCTTATTTTCCTTTTTCTGAAATTTCAACAAATAAAAATTTGAACCTAGGTCTACAAGTGGTAGATTCTTTGTAGGTTTCCATAGGGCATTGCCTCAGTAATTGGTGTCCAATTTTTTGTCCATATAGCTTGATAATCACCGCATGCTGCCAAGGTTGGTATATTCTTTCCTTTTCTTCCAGGGTAAGTGGAATAAAGCTATTAGAATCTGTTGGTGCATCCAATTCTGCATTGATAACCTGGCCAGAAGCAACAGGATCATGTAAGGAAGTGTGTGGAGTAGAGATATTATGGGAAAGTAGGGTATGAAGATAAGATGGGGGGAGTTGTTTAATATGATGTTCAGTAGCTTCACTAGGATCAATGATCATGTTGTTGGCTTGTGGAATTGAAGGAACCTGGTTAAGTAATTGTGGCGATGAGGATGAGGAAGGAGTGGAGATATCTGGAGGTTTGGGTGGTATGAACAAAGGCGTTAGTGAGTTCTTGCGTGAGAGAATTTTTGACATGCTTGGTACAGAGAAAAACTCGATCCCCAATTAATTGTTAAGGGGCTTCAGTGAAATTTTCATTTTTTAAAAGCATGAAATTCCCATTATTAGATAAGAATGGACACAACAAGATTAGCAAAAGTTTTACAGCTTGTTTGGATGGTTGTTACCCATTGTATCGTATTGTATTGTTTTTTCAGAACAATGTTTGTTTTTATTGTTTAGTTAAAATTGGTTGTATTGTATTGTCAAATCCATTGTTCCGGAACAATGAAAAGTCCCACTTTTTGAAACAACCGATTTGGTGTGATGGGATTGTTTCCTATTTTTCTTTCTAATTATCCCCTAACTTATTACTTTATAATTCTATTTTACCCTTTACCTTTTTTTTATTTTAAATAATAGCAAAGTATCTTTCTCATATAATTCTAATTCTGTAATAAAATTCTACGTGAAGTCAGCATCCCAAATATAACATATATAGGTGAAGTCTAATAACCTACATACGTGAAAAACTTGTTTATTCCTTCCGCCGCTTCCATACTCTTCAGGTATAGGTTTTGTTTTACTTTTGTCTCATTATTTCTTCTACTTTGATTTGTAATTCCAATTCTAATTATTTTATCTCCAATTAGCTTTATGATATTGGTTGTTTTCAAGTGTGCAAAGTGTTATTATTTTATGGTATAACCGTTAAGGATTTTATTGGATATGAGTATTTCATTATGGATTATATGTCACGTTGTTAGAAAACTTTTATGCTATATACTTAAGTTATGGATTATATGTCATGTTGTTAGGAAATATTACTTATGGTCTAAATTCTGAATGGAGTCTACTTAACATTTTTTTTTATTATTGTTATTATCATCTAATTATGAATATAGTGTACTTATTATTATTTTTAATATTATTAACTTGTTCAACTAATTTCGATAGAATTTGCATGAATTTAATTGCTTAATTTATATATAAGACATAATTGGTGATAAATTAGCACAAAGGGGTTTTCTTGAATAATTTTTATGTGTAATTCTTGATAAATTAAATATTTAAAATAATTGAGGGTATTTTGGTAAACTTATCAGTTACAGTACAGTACGATACAGTCAAACCAAACAGCAAAATGTTATTTAACAACAGCAAACAAAACAATCTATCCAAACATTTTATTCATAAAACGATACGATACAATACAATACGGTACAATAAGATACATTATAAAACGATGGGGAACAGTGATCCAAACATAGTGTTAGGGATTACCTTTTACATCTAAGGCGTGAATGGTAACATTAACTATGCTAATAATCTTTTATCCTCTAAATAAGCATATAAATAACTAAAAATTAGCTTGTGGTGCCATAAAAATCGCTGTTAACCGTTAAGTCTTCTCCAAAATTCCAGCATAATTCAAAGTCTACCGATTTAAGTAATTCTTAGCCGACATAGAAGATTGCTTCTAAAAAAAATAAACAAAGAATTCTCAACCGACTTAATTAACATTCTACCCAAATGAGAAGATCAAGTACTTGGCCAACAAGGATTTTAGTTTTTTAAAAAACAAATACTTGGTCACCAAGTAAATAATATTCCTATAAAAATCTTGCTGCACGCCTCTCTTTCCTTCCACTCCACTTAGATTCATTCCAATGGCTTCTCTTGTTGGTCCTCCAGAAATCTATGGCACACAAAAATCTTCCTCCACCATTCAACAATCAGCCCCTACTGTTCGCAATCCCTTTATGGATCTAATGGTTGCAAATTTCAACTCCATAAAAACACAACCTCCTAATATGGGCTACACTGAAAACATGTCAGCAACTTATCTTTCTACTTCAAACCCTTGTTTAGATTTCTTCTTTCATGTTGTTCCTGATACTCCTTCCCAATCCCTTACTAAATATTTACAATGTGCATGGGATCATGATTCTTTAACCGCCTTGAAACTTATTTGCAATTTGCGTGGTGTTCGTGGCACTGGCAAATCTGATAAAGAAGGTTACTACACTGCCGCTTTATGGCTTCATCAATTACACCCTAAAACCCTTGCCTGTAATTTAGAATCCATGGCGAGTTTCGGGTATTTCAAGGATTTGCCTGAGATTCTATACAGGCTACTTGAAGGAGCTGATGTGAGAAAAAAGGCTAAAAAAGAAAGAGAATTAAGTAACAGGCTGGGAAGCAAAAAATTTAAGAGATATAAAGTTGGAAAGGATAGAAGTTGGAAACCATTTGGAGGACTTGAAGTATCTAATGAGAGCAAAGTTGAAAATGAGAAACAAAAAGCGAGGAGCGCCAGAGAGCAGAGGAAAATCGAGATGGCTAAAAAGGCTTTCGAGAGGTATAGGCATGATCCTGATTATAGATTCTTGCATGAGCGTGTATCTGATCTTTTTGCAGATTGTTTGAAGTTAGATCTTGAGTTGTTGAACACTAGGAAATTGAAAGATATCAGCCTTGCAGCTAAATGGTGTCCTTCTTTAGATTCATCTTTTGATAAAAGAACACTTTTATGTGAAAGCATAGCAAGGAAGGTTTTTACAAGAGAGTCATACCCTGAATATGAAGGAATTGAAGACGCACATTACGCGTATAGAGTGAGGGATCGATTGAGGAAAGAAGTTTTAGTGCCCTTACGCAGAGCGCTGGAATTGCCTGAGGTTTATATTGGGCGACAAGATTGGGGTTCGATTCCTTACAATAGGGTAGCATCAGTTGCTATGAAGTTGTACAAAGACAAGTTTTTGAAACATGATGAAGAAAGATTTAAAGACTATCTTGAGAAAGTGAAACAGCGGAAAGCCAAGATTGCTGCGGGTGCATTGTTGCCTCATCAGATAATAGGAGCACTAAATGACACTGATGACGGGGGTCAAGTTGCTGAGTTGCAATGGAAGAGAATGGTAGATGACTTGTCCCAAAAGGGAAAATTGAAAAATTGTCTTGCTATTTGTGATGTCTCGGGCAGTATGTCGGTGTACTCCAAAGGAGGTTTCAGTGGCGCTAGGCGTTGTCGTTTCAGAATTGAGTGTCGAGCCTTGGAAAGGGAAGTTGATAACATTCAGCAGGAACCCGAAGCTTCAACTAGTTGAAGGGAAGGATTTAAGGTCCAAGGTTGGGTTTGTGAGAAATATGGAATGGGGAATGAACACTGATTTTCAAAAGGTGTTTGATCTAATACTACAAGTAGCTGTGGATGGGAAACTAAAGGAGGATGAGATGATCAAGAAAGTGTTTGTGTTCAGTGACATGGAGTTTGATCAGGCGTCGGCTAATCCATGGGAGACAGATTATGAGACTATTGTTAGAAAATTTACAAAGAAAGGTTATGGGAATTGTGTGCCTCAGATTGTGTTTTGGAATTTAAGGGACTCGAGAGCAACACCAGTGCCAGCAAACCAAAAAGGAGTTGCATTAGTGAGTGGTTTTTCGAAGAATTTGCTGACATTGTTCTTGGAAGAAAGGGACTTTCATCCTGAAGCTATTATGGAAGCAGCAATCTCTGGTGAAGAGTATCAAAAGCTAGTTGTGCTTGATTGATGTATATCAAACTTGGGAAGAGGAGAAAGGGAATGGAAATGATTTAATTTTTCCTATTTAGAGACTTTTAATAAGAGTTGGATGTTGATGAAAACTGTTCCTCAAATATTGAAGAAAAGAAGTTTATGTTTTAAGGAAATTGAATATTCCATCTATTTCATTTTATATGTTAGTACTTTTTTGTTTAAGTAGTATACACAGGACAAGATGATAATTTTATGCGGCAAAAGCTAATACGTATTGTTATAAATAAAATTTTATTTATGGTGAATATCTATATTTAGAGAGATTTTAGGGTTTATTACTTGGTGGCTAAGTCACCCTCTCCCTATAAATAGAGGGTTCTATTACATTGTAATTCATCCCATATCAATAAGAATTCTCTCTCCCTACTTTTCTCTACAATACTCTTCTTCTTCTTCTTTTATTGTTTCATAACACGTTATCAGCACGAGACTCTAACCAATTGAGTAGAAGCTTTGGGATTGAGCATAATGATTGTCAATTATTCCATGAACTTCCTTCATGATTAAATTCTGGATTTAAGGTAAGTATTTTACCATATTTTTCTCTTTTATTCTATACTTTGATTTTAAATACAAGCAAAGACAACAAAGTTTGATTATAACTCTAATGGAGTTTGTAAGAAATTATAACCACCTGAAGTGGTAAAATTTCTATGCCTCGCCATGATCAAATTCATGTATGATTGTGGGCAAAGAATTGAAAACCCGTCCCATTGAATTTGCTCCATTCTCATTCCCTTAAGAGAATGTGATAGCAGTATATGATAAGTCTGAAAGAAGTCAAAATTATTACTATGAATGTATCAATGGATATGGACGTGGCAATAGACGAAATTATAATCGTCATCATTTGTGGTAATGAGAACAATAAAGATTCTCAAAATAATCTTTCACTCTGTGAAAATATTTGTCATCGATTTGACATGAGATTTTGTAGAGCACATATAGATGATTATGGTCCATTCATGATGTGAATGTGACAACATTTGATTTATGAATACATATTCATTCTTCAAAGAATATGAACGTGCTAGTGGTAGTGAATATACCGCACTCACCTCTAATAGGAGGTTTGAGATGATATAAGAAAATAATGTCATTATTATGGCATGAATGGTCATTGGTCACATACCTATTGTACGCCAAAATATTTTGGCATTGTGATTGTTAAAAGACAATAGTAATGCAAGAAACAGATCTTGCATATAATTTTGACCATAACCATAATGGTATAACTTTCTCTTTAAAAAAGATATTCACCATATGGATGTTGATGAATATGTGGTAGTACCAAATTAATTGAGAGTTTTGGAAGATCCGTTTATTACTATTTTGGAGAAACACAATTGATTACCAATAAGGTATTGTGTTGTAGTAAGTCTGAAAGAAACTTATTCAGTTTCCAAAGTATACGCGAAAGCGGTTGATCATATTGAGACTATTAATAAAGCAAAGATTTAATATCTTCTATTACTACAACTTGTAGCTGGGTAATATGTATGTGAAAAGCTACCCGCTTTATTCTCCAGTTTGTACTACACAAATAAAATAATACCACAATAAAGTGGATATTTATTGATATAAAAACCCATATCATAATAAACTTGAAGTTTATTGATAATTGCACACGTCATGGCGTAAATCTGAAGTTTATCAATATTGATAATTTATTCAGTTGGCATAATTGGTTTACCCATATTAATTTAAGTATGATGTGCAAAAATAAAAGAGAATTCACATGGGTAAACATTAAAGAACGAGAAAGTTCTTTACGAATTCATTTATGTTGCATGTTCTCATTAATTAATATACCAACTAAAATTGGGATTGAATCTTATGAATGCTGGAAATATCAAAGGTAAATATGGGCTCATTCACCTGCCATGTATACCACATCAGATGCATCTATGATATGGTTACATGTGCGATTATTGTTAACCCGCAACATGGTGTTTGCAAGGTAACTTGCTCAATAATTTAATTTCGAGCATAATTTCCAGATTTTTTTTGAAGAAGTTCATCTTGATACGTTGGCTTACATCACAGTTGGTTTAGCAAAATGATTTATTAAGTGCCTCTACTTAATAGCTAAACAATTGCTTATGAGAACAAAGTTATCTATATCAGTTTGATATACGTTATATACCAAAATATATTATTTTCTCCCCTCACAAGTGGTTCAGGGTCAGGAACCAAATAATTCAATCTTATTATTATTGATGTGCGGTGTATATTTTAATTAACACCATAACGCACAAAGATGAGTTCATAAAGTTGAGGAAACGAGTTAGTTTTTCTAACATGAGGGGGAGACATGATAAACAGTTGAGAAAAAGTTACGTGGAATGAATTATCATATGTAGATCTAGGTCCTCGAATAAAATAATATGAACTTGAAGTTCATAAGAGGATAATTCATGTGCAATATATTGCAAAGCATGCTAGACGCATTTGCTGACCCAAAGAAAGTAACTATATTCTCATTCAAATGCTCTTATTAAGTCCTAGAAGGACAACGTCTATGGTACGCTTAAAGCATATAGACAAATCAGTTTCAAATAAACTTCTTAATATAGAAGATGAGCAAATGATCAAAATGATCATAATAAGGAGGCAAGTGATCTAGAAGATCACATGATATAACACTTCATAAAATCTCAGGAGAGATTCAGGTACCTGAAAATATGAATGAAGAGATCTTTATGTCATGTCTTTATGAAAATAAAGTTGGAACCGATATAAAATGTTCGTCGACGACATCTATGTTAGCGCTAAGTATAGATGAGGATCTTAAGTATGTCGAATATAGACACAAAAATACTGGCCAAATGAAAGAGACACAATTCGAATAGAATTTGTTTCAACGAAAGACATATAGTTTTGGACCTTCAGTTCAAACACTTGAAAGTATGAAGCCAATGATATGCGCAATCAGTTTTCGATATCTTATTTGTCTAGCATGACATGAAAACTTAATATGCATCTAATTAAAGTCTATTATATGACTTATATGACAATCCTTGAAGGATTTAAATCGCTTGAAGCATATACAATTCTTGATCTTGAAGTACCACTTCCTCAATGCAATTTGTGCACAAATGTATCTTGCTATAACTATAAGCATGATAATATGATAGCAAGAGTTTTCACCTCTATGTGAAGATATTGAACTGACGATTCCAACAAGATCATATGAAGATAATTCATCTCTATCAAGAATGATGATTTCAAGGTGCAATATATTCATTCAAGTTAATATGGCTGATTTGTTCATCAAATCTCTACCAAAGATCTTTTGAAGATGCTGCACAAGATTGGAATACAAATGCTTAAAGATGTGAATTGATGCTTTCATCAGGGGGAGTTAATATGCGTTGCACTCTTTTTCCCTTACAAGGTTTTGTCCCATTGGATTTTCCTTGCAAGGTTTTTAACGAGGCAACCAAAAGGCGTATTGTTAGATATGTGTACTCTTTTTCCTTTTTTAGAATTTTTTTCCCACTGGGTTTTATTTTAGTTAAGGTTTTAACGAGGCACATTATCTGTTGAATAGACATTCAAGGGGGAGTGTTATAAATAGAATTTTATTTATAGTGAATGTCTATATTTAGAGAGATTCTAGGGTTTATTACTTGGTGGCTAAGTCACCATCTCCCTATAAATAGAGGGTTCTATTCCATTATAATTCATCCCATATCAATAAGAATTCTCTCTCCCTACTTTTCTCTACAATACTCTTCTTCTTCTTTTATTGTTTCATAACACGTATGACTTTATTCTCTCTTTTTTTAATTTTTGGCACTGCCTGCTGCTTCTGCTTTTATTTATATTTTTGTTTATTTTTATTTCATTTTCTTCTCTTTTTTTCTTATGAAGATGAGTTTAGAGCTTCTTAAAAAAGCTCTTCAATCTGTCCTAAGAGAAATGAAAGAGCGGAAACATTTGATTGATTGTGTTTAGGGTCTAATTTAAGGGTCTTTCCATAGTTAAGAAAGTTGTTTAAACTAGGAGTTTTACCTTGAAAGATCAGTCTTACCTAGAATAGAAATGAAATTTCAAATTACTGGTTCAGTCTAAAATTAGTCGTTAGTAAAACTTTTGGAAGTATTAATAAGATAAATCTTCCTGTCTTTTTATTGTACATGTCAAAGCAAAACAACTTCCTAGCTCAAAAGTTCTTCCAGTAAATTTTTCATTAATTGGTAGCTTTTTTAATTTGCCTTTATTTAAATTATTGCATATACAAAGAAAGATAGTAGGTCCTTGATCACGCCTAATTCTAATCCTAAAAAGGATAAGCGGTCGCTGCAAATATAATTCGGTCTAAAAGTCCGGAGTCGAATCCCACAGAGAACTAAGGCTTAGCTACAATTGTTCACTATCACCAAGAACACAAGCTTGAACAATTCCTAACTTATAGATATTAAGATTCTTGTGTTAAACTAACTAACTAACAAATTAAAATAATAAATTAACACTAAAGATACTACAGGTTGGAGAAAAGATTAAGGAGGTCTAGAGTTATGATTTCCCCAATTGTCGGAATCCTTCCCGCTATGTCTTCTATAATTTCGTCTAAGTATTCTTTACCGATCATGAGTGCTCTGCGTGTTGTAATTCTCTCCCGAGTAATTACGACAATTTACTAGACATACTCTCCCGAGTTACGCTAGCTGGCTTTAGTTACAGCTCACTTAGATCGCACCCAAGGTTTCGTTATCCCTAATCCCACCTTTAAACCCTTGGTTATTGATTCCTCACATACGTCGGGAGTGATGTTGTTCAATAACTACCTAAATATGCACTCTCTCCCGAGTAATACATACTAAATAGGCACAGCTAATTGAGGGCCCTTCAATCAACCACAAGAATAATATAGTTGAACAAATAGAGAAAATACTACGGCTCAATTATATAAAAACATAACAAGAATTTATCCTACAAAAGGTTCCATCAAAACCCTAGATAACAAATTAGCTATTCATAATAGTATGTAAAATTACAATACTAAAAGTCATAACCAACAATTAAAAATAGGAAGAGGACGGAAAAACTCGTAGAAGAATTCCCCGCCTTGCTCCTATTGTGTCTCCTCCTTAGGTCGAATCCGTGTCAAAAATATGTCCAACCCTTTAAAATACTATTTTTCCATGTATATATACCAAGTAGGGTCGGGCCCAAACTATTATACCTTCTCCTACGCGAAAAAGGACAATTTTTTCACGTCTGGACGTCGCGGCCGCG